AAAGTTCCAGGAGAAACACCGAAGAGACAGGCGAAAACGGCGAGCGCGGCGGCGCGGGCAGGGTCAGCGGGGCAGGGCCAAGGCGGCGCGGCGGCCCGAGGTGTCCCCTCCAGGACCCCAAGGCCGAGGGGGAGCGCCGGGGGCTCCCTGGGAATTCACAAGTGCCCTAGACTACACTTTGAAGTGGGGGAGGGGGTCCATAAGTCGAAGCCCGTGGGACTTCAGGCACAGAGGCCGGAGGCAGCCCGGGAGGAGGGACCCGGTCCCATGCGGAGGCCGGTGGCGGGTCTGCAGGGCTCCGCGGCTCCCTCTCCGCCGCGCCCCGCTGGAGCGGCCGCGGCGCGCCAGGGCAACACGCTCCCTCCCCGGCACCGTCCCCACCGAGCCCGGGCAGCCCCTCTCGGGGACCGGCGAAGGCCGCCGGGTCTTCTCGGCCACCTCCTGCCGCAGTTAAATGTCAGATTCGAAGGCTTTTCCCTCCAGCGCTCGAGCCCGGCCCGATCCGCTCCCGCACTGCTTCCCGGCCCCAGCTTCGGGGCGGCGGCCGCCCAGTGTCTGCGTTCCCGCTGCGCGCGCCTCCCCACAGGAGTACAAGGGTCCACGGAGCCGGGGTCACTGCTCTCCTACCGGGGTGTGGGTCCTAAAACTGCCGTTCTCCTTCTGGACGGCGAGGGGTCTCCCGAGGGCTGACACCCACCCGCCGGAGGCTAAGGCCCCAGGACTGGGGTCTGCATCCTCCCCGCACCCCCAGGTGCTTGGGGCTGGCCCGAGACCCCGCACCGCGCGAGTGCAGGAGCAAGAAACCGAACCCGGGGTCCACGGGCGCCGGTGACGGCGTTTGCCAAGAAATGCATGCGAGCTCTGGGAGCCGATGTCCGAAAGGATGTGGGGCTGGTTTGTCTTTTTCTCGCCCAGATTTTGAAAACTCCAGCCCAGCCTCAGCCGCAGGGACTCGGGAGTTGGAATCGTCCCTGGTGGCTCCCATTTCGGCAGAGGAGTGCGCCTTGGGAGAACCCGGCGTGCCGGCACGGAGGCGGCAGCAGCGCCACGCACCCCTCTCCGCCGGCGCCTCCGGACTGGCCTCTGCCCCGGTCCCAGGGTCTCCCCGCACCCTCACGGGCCCGCCGAGATAGAGGGAGGCACGGCACCCCCGTCGGGAACTACGGAAAGCACAACAGTATTCCCCGGGCCTCCCTCCCCTGGATCCCGAATGCGAGCGCGGCGCGAGGCACTTACCCGGGTGCGGGTGGAGGTTGAGGCCGGCCATGTACTTCCCGGGCGGCAGCGGGCCCGGCAAGCCCGAAGCGGGCAAGCGTCCTGCCGTGGCCGCGCCCACGCGGTGGCTGTCCATCGCCAGGCCGGACAGCAGC